ATAAAAATAAATATAGATTGTCATTATTACTTTTTTAATTCTCGATTTATTTATTAGGCTGTTGTAATGATGATCGAAGATGCTGAAGAAAGAACAATGGAACTACTTCACAAACTCATCCAGTCATTAGCAACCGGCGCCATTGTTAGTCCATATCAGTTGAAACAAGTAAGTATACGGTGAATACAAAAATTTTTTCCATCAATTTAGATAGGAAACAGTCAACTCTTGCAGATATTATTGATTATAAGTCATTTGCAAATTATCGATTATCATGCTAGCATGAAAGGTATAGATCCCGTAGGGTAATTACCCCCGCACAAGTCGTTGAAAAAATTTCACAACGACTCTATAAACTTAATATTTAGATTAACTGATGGGCTGTTTAAATACACTATATTAATATTGTTAAATGCGTTTTTAGGGTTTTGAACGCGTTTATAAAGAGATGGATGATATTAGGATCGACGTCCCTCACGCTTATATTTCTCTGGAAAAAATCGTGATGAGGTGTTATAAAAATGGAATTCTGCCAGAATACTTAATGAAAGAAATGCCTAGACCAGTCAGGTGAGTACTTTCTCCAGAATAAAAATAAGAAGAAAAAAAATCGTGGCCAAAACTAATAATTTATTTTTCTTAATATATTTTTAAAAAGAAATCTCTGAAAATGACTTAAAACGAGAGAGAAAGCGATTATAGAATACGAAGAGAATGTCGTTACTTTGATATTTATTCTTCGTTCTGGAATGAAAATTGTAAATACATCTATCGCAACTCGAATAAAAATTGTTTTGACTACTCAAATATTAGTGTTATTATTATTTTTTAAAATTAATTTTCACTCGAATTATTTTCTAGTACAATAAAATATTTTTAAATAACAATTCCTTAAGTTGTTTGGACACATTTAGTAGGTGTTATATTAAAGTAATCAGGCTTCACAGGCTGCTGCTGACAGCCGGTAATTAGAACTAAATCGATCGCTTCTACACTGGATTTCCTGTCCACTTTATTTTTCAGGATGTTTTCTCATTAACACTATCATTCGATGCGACGTAGTATTGAAATTTATGGCGTATTAGTTGTGTATCTTTCATTATCACTTCGATAAATATGTGGCTCAGATAAATAAATATATAAACAGTACTGGGTAGATCTAAATATTCTAACAAATAATTTATAACAAAAAATTATTTATAACAAATGGAATTTCAAATATTCCGCACTGCAATTATCTTTGAACAGGTGAATAAATTCGAACTGTTCAAAACATTAAAGAACGTATCGTTCATCATATTGATGGATGAAATTTTAATATGAAATTCCTTGAAAGATGCACAAGTATGGATAGAGATTTATTCGAAGATTTTTCTACGAATTTTAAAATAAAACTAAAAAAAAGAACTAGTTACTTAGTTTTTATGCAGTCATTTTCTTAAAATATCAATTATAAAATCTCAAAAATTGTCAGATTAATATACAAAAAGTGTTATTACCCCCATAAAATGCCTTAACTTATCTGTAATATTTAAACAAATGTTATCGTAATGGCATTTTTTTCTTATTTTTAATACAGTATTGCATTAAGGTCAAGGATTTTCTCAGAGTGACAGTCTGTTATTGTTATTATTAATAAAAACAAGATGTGTAACTATGATTTTAATTGATAAAATATTTTTTTTAAAAATTGAAACATAAAAGATAAACAAATACGTCACGTGGAAAAAAAATATGTATATATGAAAACTACTTATATTTTTTAATTATTTAATCACAAATTGCTTATTAATATCTCATAAAATAGTTACGTCACTATAAAGCCATAGGCATTGAGTGAAACCATAAATCTATACATTAAAAAACAAAGTGCATTGTAAGTAGCATAAAAAAAATAATTATGACAGTAGAAAATGTGTAATTTCATAAATTTCTTGGGTTGGAGACATCATTCACCTAAAGTTATTCACTTCCATAAAGAAGTCAATTAAAAAATAAGAGGGGGGATCTGTCACGCTGGAGACTGACCTCATAAAAGTTGAAATTTAAGATGCATAACCGACAATTCTGCCCTCTGTCGACGTCTCGGAAAAACAAGAAAATTGCCAGGGATAGGAAAATACGTGGCCACTTCCGAATGTGTATTAAAAGGGCCATTAGTTAAATTGTAACAATGTCGTTCGCGCTCTAGAAGCCGCGGTGATAAATAACAAATTTGGCCTCAAATTATGCAAAAAGCACAGTTTTTAGATGAATTGAAGCGAATTCCTATCGGAAGACGTCATGGCGATTAGAGAAAGAAATTTTAGTTTATTGTGGGTGTACTTGAACTGTTAAGTTTATGTCTTCCAGGAAGTGGGTTCTTTATTCGCACGAACAATCAATGCTGCTTTTAAAGCAACTGTTTACAGTTTGCTGGGTAACGTTATGACGTCATTGAACGAAAGAGGTGACTCATTGTCACTCCCCTTTTCCCCCGATACACGACGTGAGTCAATATTCCTGTTGCTATTACATATCTGTTCGAAGCGAATAAAATATTCAATTGAATGTTATCGATAGAGTTAAATTAGTAAATCGAGACCCTATAAGCTGCGGTGACTCAATCAGATCGAAGATACGATTGCACGTGCATTAAATATATGGAAAGATGAAAAAATAAATGGATTATATACATTAAAATTAAGCATTAAATATCTTTTAATTCAAATGATCAATCAGAATTTTTATAAATAATTGTTTTATTAAACTTAGTTATTGTCTAAAGAACGTGGAAATTCGGAATTATCGAATTTTCCAAAATTTAGGGCAGACTAAAATATCAAATAGACTAATATTGAGTTATATTAGATTATATAAAGCATTAAATAAATTAAGGCTAAGGACCTTATATATATATATATATAAACTAAGCAGACCTTATATTGGGTATATTTGGTTTATATTTAGGCCCTTAATCTTAATTCATTTGAAAGGTTTATATTAAAATTATATAATTATAAAGCCTTATATCTGTTAACGACTATTATAATATAGATTTTAGTCAGTTTAAATTACTTGAAACTAATAATCTAATATTGTAATTCGAATGCATTAATATTGAGAATGAAATTTAATATTGAAAAAAAAATTCTTTACTTTAAAAAGAATAAAAGATTTAATTCAATAATATTTTTAGAAAAAATACAATTAGCATAATTTATAAAACAATATTTATGAAGGATTTTAATTTACATATATAACGAAGTAAGAAAATTTGTAATTTAAGTCATTTTAGATTTAATAAAAATAATTACACGGGTAAGGATATGAAAAAATATGAAAATCGATTTTTAATGGTTTGATTTTTTTAATGTAGGAAAGGAAGAGTGGTTATTAATGATAATGAAAGTACGGAACGGAAATGATATTTCATCATAAAAAATAAAGAATCAGAAGCTAAATTTTGGAAGGACTTAAATATGCGGAAAAAGAAATTCATTAAAACCAGTAAGGGACATCACCAGGGCGTATAATTGGCACGTGAAAGCTTCTCGCTTCATTCAGCGGAACCATGTGGCCTGTTAGGCTTGAAGTTGGACGTGAAACAATTTTTTTTTTATTTTTCTAATTCTTCTGTTCTGTATTTATTTTTTGTGGTCGTTAACCTCAATCGGATAGTCGGAGAATGACGTCATGGCTGACCATATCCTGCTATTCGAACCCGGACCGGCGACGATATATGATAATAATCGTGCGAGGATGCACGTCTGTATTCAATGTTGACGATGAAGTCGTACTTTTGGAAAGAACGGAGCGGCACAGAAACCGAGCAGAACCCGTGAATCATCGCTTGCTTCACCTGGCCACCGTCTCCGACGGTTGTCATGGTAACGCCATCTGTCCGGTCGGCTGAGACTGCGCCGAGCGATCACGTGACGCTTCCTCCCCCCCATTTGGTACCGCAGTCTGTGATCTGTGAATAGTTGTAGTCTAGAGCCATCATGGATGTAGCCGATTCTTGTTCTCTACCCGGTTGCTATTTATTGGTTGTTGTAGGAGAGCCGTATAGCGAGGATCACAAGAAGCAAATTCTACAGAAAATATCGAAAGGTATTATTATTATTATTTTTTACTTATATATTTCATTATACGTTTTTCTACTCGTGCATATCTTACACGTACAGCTAAATAAATTAAAAATAATCTATTACAAATTTTTTAAATGTCAAAACGACTAGGCTGCTCTGTTATGCATTTTTTTGCGCGCGTTGGGTACTGGCGAGAGAAATATTCGCCGGGATGTCACTGCTGCAGTTGACTGGGTGATGAGTCGAAACGAGCACACCCCGTCTGACATATGGCTGCTCTCCTAGGAAGCTGGACATTATGAATAGACGGTCGCCATGTTCGAGAAACCGGCACAAACGTTGCACGTGAAGTAGTCAATATGGCGACCGAAACATCCCCGACAACGCCTTAAAATATTAAACAGTAATTAATATGGTTAAAAGTATATCTGTCATCTCCACTTACTGTAACAATCACCGAGCATTAATTTTCTCCAGCGATCTTTTCTTTTTACTATTATTATTTTTTTAATTCGAGTTAAATTGAACATTCAATTCGAATACACAAGGCCACTGCGCTACACCATGCGTAACTGTGCTCTCTCTACTGAGAAAAACAATGTAACATATCGAGTCATTTCAAAAATATAGCGTATTTCAAAATATTTCTGACACGTAATGGGGTCTCCGGATCAATCAGGGCTTGAGAAATTAATTTCCCTCCCCCAAAAAACAGTTTGTATGAGAAAACACATCTATGAGTCATCCAGTGGAGAAATATTGAATAGTGTAAATACAGATTAGATAATTATAAGTGGAGGTTGCTCAACTATTTATGTGCATTCTATCATCAGGGATCTTATTAAAGATTATTTAAATCTTATGCTGCCAGGTCGGAAGATAAGTCGAAAACGGCGCTCCTTTAACTAATTCTTGAACTTTTATCATCATTTTTTCCAACATTCTTGGATAGGAATTCCTACCGCAATAAATCCTGATAATTGTTTAGGTACAGTGAACGACGGAGAGTAAGAATAACAAAAATTATCACCTAGAAAATAAATTGAAATCTTCGAGAATTCTTGAATTAACAGCGAAACTCGTCGTAATGTTGTTGATGGTAGCTTTTGACAGTAGTTACCAGAATGCTTGTATTATTTTGGGTAACGGTTTAATTTAGGGAAATCGCTATTAATTCTGCAGAATTCTATAAAATTATTTGTTCTATTCGAAAAACGGAAATTTTAGGGAGATTAAACTTTAAAATTTTTGAATAAATCACGCTATTTTATATGGTTTTTGTAAGTCGCATCCGATCTAAATACAAAATGTCGCCTTTTAATCCGACTGGCATAGAAAAAAATGAGAGTAAATATAAATTCGAAAATCATTTCTTCATAAAAGAGTGGCTACAATTTAGATTTTACTGCTCCATTCGCGTCCAACGATTTTACATTATCAGTTGTACAAACAAGATGCGGCTAACTCCGCCCAATACAAATTAACGTCGGCAAAAGTTCCAGAACGACTCCACTTTTTAAAAATAATATTAAACACGTGAGAACATTTATAAATTACGATTTTATTTCCAATGATTTACCTTTAATTTTTGAAGATTTTTGTCGTAATTACTTTCTCCATCTTGTCTGGAGACATCTCAGCTTGTATAACCTGTTGCCATAGTAACAGCGATCATCCTTAATGGGATGTCTGCTCCCAGAATATCAACAGATAAAGATTAAATCGATTA